AACAACCTGCTCTTCTGTGCCACTATTGATAAACAGTTTTTCTTTTACCCATCCCTGATCCTCCTACCATAACTTCAACATCATCTACGTACTTAGGCCGATGTCATAGTTTGCGAATCGAGCGATTCGCTAGCGAATCGCTCGATTCGCAAACTATGACATCGGCCTTATGCCGTCACGGCTGAGGTCTGTTGAATCTTCCCCAACACTCCCGGGAGGCTTTTCCACTCCCGTTATTAGCCCCATATTGGTTGCCATCACTGTGTAACGTACACCCGTCCAACACTATATAGTTGACGTGAGTCCAAACCTTCTACGGTCAACGCGAATGGCGTAACGGATTCAGTGTCACTTACATTCGACGCATTCTATTGATCCTTATCACCTGCTCTCATTTCCTAACATTCACAACTGATTAACAACATTCGAAACATTAACAACAATCAACATCATGGTCACGCGTGCGTTTACCAATTCTCGACGAAGGTGATCGTATTAAGTAGGGTGGGAGGGAGGAGGTCGTACATACATCGATCATCAATGATTGGAGCAGCGGTATCCTGTTCGATTATGGATGGAAACCACGACTTTCAGCGGATGTCAGTTATAGCGGATGTACATCTCTGAGCGGGTTCGACCAATGCCGCGCGCTTCAATTCCCTATAATCGGGATGTGAGTTTAAAGGCAAACCCCGGGATTAGCCCGACTAGTAGGAAGGATACCGCGAGGGAAATTGTAAGGTCCGTACCTACCTAGATCACTCCAGCTTCGTCGCAAAAATTGCGCGGTTAGGGCGCTAATCCTTACGGGCCTGCAACCATCGACCCTTCAACGCACCCACCGCGAGATGGTGAGATCAGCGTGCATTGATGTAGAGATCAGCGTGCTCTCTCGCGTGTTTTGTCTTCTTTGATCGCCCTGTCTCGCCATCGTACCACATCCGACCTTATTGAAGGTTAAGGCCTTAATTTCAGCGTTCCCAAAGATTCTCTTGCTTTCCTTTCCACTTTCAGGTCGTCCGCAGCTCATTCATCATACGAAGCGCTCTTATCACCAGTTTTATCCGGTGCTTGCCTTCAAGATACATGATTTCCCCGCTAGAGACTGTTTGAAATGCAGGAACTAACCTTCTGCTCAAAAAGAATTGCAATTTTTTGCGCTAATTTCATAAACTTCTAACCATTCAAATTAAAACGTAGCAATACACTCTTACGCGCTTGAAAGGAGGAATCACAAAGATCAAATCTGCTATCATTTTTGTAGAACAAAGATCTATGAGAGAAGTATGGCTTGTTGAGACGTGATAACGCATTGAAAGACTGTCCCAGCAGTGCGTGGACGAAAATCCTCGACTGGGCCGTTTTTTAAGTACCGAACTCACCAAGTCCTTCCGGGGGTCATTAGTCAGAGAAATTCCTCTGCTTTACAGCACCATATAACCTTTCCCGACTTGAGGTAGACGCTTGACCATGATCAACTGAGTGGCGTGGTTCCGCTCTTGTGGTGAAGGACTTGAGTCGTAGGGAGTAGGAAGACTTATTTGGTCGGAAAAGGCAAGTCAGTGATGAATTCTTTATTTCATTAATTAGCGGTTATGTCTCATGAATGTAAAAGTCGGTATATTAGAGCATGGGCAGAAATGGTGCAGTGGCAAGTGTCGGCGCTCACTATGCACACATTTTTGGGATCAAATTCTGGGTTGCACGCTAACTCTATCTTTCTCCGGGAGAAATTGATCAGTGGTATGCCCCCTACTCAGTCACTACGTTTGCTAAGCAATCTTACTGTAGTTGAAAAAATCCAACGTGTTTCTTTTCGAATACGGTTTTTCTTCTTGACCGCTAGGCCACTGCGGTTTTTTAACTGAAAATTCTCGTGAAGTTTTACTATTCTTCATCATGTGATAATCATTCGTGAGCTTTTTCCCTGCTCTACTCAACAATGTTTTTTTTCAAATTAATTTTCTTAATGAACTATGTTGAATTTTTACTTTTTCTAAGTTTTTATTGTGATATGGTGCCCAACCCACGAAAATACCACATTACTTCAGGAAAAATCCCTTTAAAATATGAAGAAGGTTATGAGGCATGCATTTTAAACTTCGCCAAAAGTTGTTCCTAAGATTCCTGTGCTTTCCAACGTCGTGGCTCCAAAAATTGTGGGATAGATTTGGAGCAACAGTGCCTGATCATCCAGTTCTGGAGGAAAAACCAAACTTGAAAAAGTATGAAGATGTGAAAAGGTGCGACCTGATAGAAAGTATTACAGCGGAATGTTCAGAAGACGTCGAAGGCGTGTATTAGGGAAAGATAGAGTACGAACTTGCTGTCGGCTTGAATCATTTCGTCGACGGACCTCCTATTTTGCGAATTTGTAATTTGAAATCTCAGAGGAGTGTGCAGAAGAAAAACATCGTTACGTTCCCATGTCAGAGGTATGACTTGTAACCATTCCCCTTACTGGAGCATATTCGGTTGCTACAAATATTGTATCAAATCAGAATACCGTGCCTGCCTCGATTCATTGATCATTTCTCCCACGCCTGGAATCCTTTCGCAACAAGAACTGTTTAACCTACCATCGTCGTAAATTTGGAAAGCGAATTTGGACGTTGCACGGACGTCGCATTACGTGGCACTGAAAAAGTTTCATTTGTTTGCAGCTGCGAATTGATGACGCGTACAATATAAGGTGTTGACCCTTACCAGAGAAGGATTTCATCGACATCTCTTAAAACTTTGAATAGAGACCTTGGCAAACCAATGCAGTCAATGCAGATGCCAATCACAGATATCGGGGCCAAAACTGCTACGTGATTTCCATGCAAATTGTGGAGTGGTCAGTGAAATGCAGGGTCAATATCTATATGAGGCAAACTAATCTGTCCGCCTCAGCATTTTTAATATTTTCTAAAACTTGGCCTATATGTAATAGCTAATCAGATCATGAGTATGACAGAAATATTAACACATTCACGAGAGTGGCAGCCCATATGGCCTGCCAGAATTGCCCTTGTGGGACGATGGCAGCCCATATGGGCTGCCAGCTGATAATCGCTTGCCAGGCGCTATGGTTGGTAATCTCGTAATCGAGTTTAAAATGCTTTTAAATTCCTTTACGAGGAAAGTGAATAAATGCTCGTTACCACTATTCATCGTTTTGATCAAAATTCTACTACTATACAGGGGGGGGGGCAAAAAAAGAGTCACTTTGCCCATGGCGCATATCATCAAACTTTTCGTCGCAAAGGATGCCGCTGTTATTGGGAGTTATACGGCGAAAT